AATACCCTGGCCAAGTTCAAGAGGGACATAAAAACTCACCTCTTCACGTCTGCATTTTAGAATCTTTGCAAAGACGTCATGTAAATACCACCCTTTTATTTTTTCAAATGTGCACATTGCTTGTTAAATGTATGAAAGTGATTGCAAGCCTTTGTTGTTTGTTTTCACAATTATAACCATTACTATTATCCATATGTTGTAAAGCGCCTTAGAGTAATTTTACAAATTATATAGGGCGCTATATAAATGCTGTATATTATTATTATTATTATTATTATATACACAGTGATGTATTGTGTTACAGAGGGTCGGGGGTCAAGCGGCCAGGAGGAGGACTTGGAGGAGTACTTGGCATCATCAACAAGAAACCCAAAATAGGCACACTGGTAAATAATCACATGGAGAAGTTTTGGGAGCATTTGTAAATTATATATAGGGATACTCACTGTGAGCACTGGTAAATAATCACATGGAGAAGTTTTGGGAGCATTAATAAATTATATATAGGGATACTCACTGTGAGCACTGGTAAATGATCTAAAGAGAAGCAATAACTCTTGTAAAAAAATTGAAAAGACAGTTGTAAGCTAATTCCATTATACTCCACCAAACTTCATTGCAAAGGTATACAAAATGAAGAGTGCATTCCAAAGTACATAAATAATATCGCCTGCAAGTGTTGTGGTGGGTCCTAGATAAAGTACCAGACATATTCCATTAAACATGTGAACGGCAAAATTGAAAAAAGAAATATATATATTTCAGACTGTAGGAACAGTGTATTGGAGGTAAATGTGAAATGTTTATGAATTGTTTTGACATGTTGGAATAAAATCAATAAACTGTTGATATAATATATATCATTAAACCTTCAGAATATTGCGCAACAAAAATAACTTCATCATCTACTTACCAATTTCTTTTTCATCTTCATGATATATTCTATCATCACACTCTTACTGTACTCCAACAGTGTTAGACAAATACATGACGAGATACTTTTAACAGGCATCAGCAAAATCATATCTGATTGAAAAAAGGCTGACCAGCGGCCTCTTATGTTATAGAAGTAACAATTAACTTTTCAATAATCTTTCTAAGATGCTTCAAAATCTTTTTGTCATAGTAGAATGTCTATTTAGGTATGAAAGTATATACTTTTATTGTTTTTAAGGAAAAATCAAAACTTGATTGGACCAACTTCAAAGAACAGGAAGGAATTAGTGAAGAACTACAGATTCATAACAGGGGAAAGGCTGGGTAAGCTTTACATTGGCTGAAACTGACCCGTCAATAGTGAATGGCAAACATTACATATAATAGTCAGTGAGACCTGCCTTAAGCAGCCAGACAAGTGGTGAATGGTGTATAGAGAAACATGCCTGCAGTGACAAGACAGAGGTTATTTTCAGTGAAATATGACAACAATCATACTGAACAAACTTTTATATAGTGATACCTATTTATAACGACCACACAGGACAAATTGTGTACAAGAAGGCCTGAAGAAGTACACAATTTGATGACATGTAAAATACATTTACTGACCCTTGTTTAGTGTGAAGTGAGGTTTTATTATCAAAACAGAGCAAATTGCTGCAAACTTGACAACTTTACTGTACAATATAACAATGCTGAGCTCACAGCCTGATCAGTAAAGACATTCTGAGGTAACAACACGACAACTTTATTGTACAATATAACAATACTGAGCTCACAGCTTGATCAGTAAAGCCATTCTGAGGCAACAACCCGACAACTTTACTGTACACTATAACAATGCTGAGCTAACAGCTGGATGAGCATAGCCATTCTGAGGTAACAACCCGACAACTTTATTGTACAATATAACAATACTGAGCTCACAGCTTGATCAGTAAAGCCATTCTGCGGTAACAACCCGACAACTTTACTGTACACTATAACAATGCTGAGCTAACAGCTGGATGAGCATAGCCATTCTGAGGTAACAACCCGACAACTCTACTGTACAATATAACAATGCTGAGCTAACCGCTTGAGGAGTATAGCCATTTTGAGGTAACAACCCGACAACTTTACTGTGCAATATAACAATGCTGAGCTCACAGCTGGATGAGTATAGCCATTCTGAGGTAACAACGCGACAACTTTACTGTACAATATAACAATGCTGGGCTCACAGCTTGATGAGTAGAGCCATTCTGAGGTAACAACCCGACAACTCTACTGTACAATATAACAATGCTGAGCTCACATCTTGATGAGTATAGCCATTCTGAGGTAACAACCCGACAACTTTATTGTACAATATAACAATGCTGAGCTCACAGCTTGATCAGTAAAGCCATTCTGAGGTAACAACCCGACAACTTTACTGTACAATATAACAATGCTGAGCTAACAGCTGGATGAGTATAGCCATTCTGAGGTAACAACCCGACAACTTTACTGTACAATATAACAATGCTGAGCTCACAGCTTGATGAGTACAGCCATTCTGAGGTAACAACCTGACAACTCTACTGTACAATATAACAATGCTGAGCTCACAGCTTGATCAGTATAGCCATTCTGAGGTAACAACCCGACAACTTTAGTGTACAATATAACAATTCTGAGCTCACAGCTTGATCAGTATAGTCATTCTGAGGTAACAACCCGACAACTTTACTGTACAATATAACAATGCTGAGCTCACAGCTTAATGAGTATAGCCATTCTGAGGTAACAACCCGACAATTTTATTGTACAATATAACAATGCTGAGCTCACAGCTTAATGAGTATAGCCATTCTGAGGAAACAACCCGACAACTTTACTGTACAATATAACAATGCTGAGCTAACAGCTGGATGAGTATAGCCATTCTGAGGTAACAACCCGACAACTTTACTGTACAATATAACAATGCTGAGCTCACAGCTTGATCAGTAAAGCCATTCTGAGGTAACAACCCGACAATTTTAGTGTACAATATAACAATGCTGAGCTCACAGCTTGATCAGTATAGTCATTCTGAGGTAACAACCCGACAACTTTACTGTACAATATAACAATGCTGAGCTTATGTAAATAAGGTAATTGTTTCTCATTTTCATTTCATTTTAGATATCTGGAGAGAATGGCATTTTTGGAACGTACAGATCATCGGCAGTTTGAAATTGAAAAGGGTATAAGACAAAAAACCAGTAAAAGATGACAACTTGCTGATAGCAGACATGCTAAAAGGGAGACAACCATGCAAGTACTGAGGTGTCAGTCCTAGAGGCCAGATTTAGAGTCAAATCACCACTAATTTTTAACTCAACAATTTCATAAGTTTACATTGAGAGCAACCTTACTTTGTGTTGGATACGGATTCTGATTGGAAACCTGTATTACTGTCACAAGGAACATACCTCAAACCTTGTCATGGGTAAAGCCAAACTATGTAGGACCAGAGTGACCGAAATGTATATTTGATATAATTGAAATCAAGTTTCAGTCATACCAGATTTGTGTGATTGTACAATGTACAGATTTCTTAAATACCTTATTTGTATTACAATCAACTGAATAGATTTCAGACATACCAGACGTGTAATCAACAATGAACAGATTTCATATACCATGTTAATGTTATTGTAAACTGAAGTTTTCAGGCAGATGATGTGTCAATGTACCCCGAGCAGATTTCAGAAATACATTGTACCAAATTTCTGTTGTTGTTCAGTGAACACCTTTTAATAACGCCTTTCTTCTGAAGATTATATTTCAGCAATATTGTGAGGGAAAAAATCTTAATTTAGTCCCAGGGAATTAATTGCCTTTCTATGAACTCTTAATTCGGAATATTGATATAACATTGCTGCACAAGAGGTATTAATCAAACAGATGACCAAGACAATGTCAAACTGGGTATCACGGCACAATAGTTAAATCCCATGAAATTGTTCTACGGATAAAATTGCTAAAGTGTGACCTTATACCACATACAGATACTAGGTTGTACAGCTGAACAACATTCAGAATTCAGATACATGAAGATTGATGTGTCTGCATATTTGTGCTGATCAGATTTCGGTTCTATGTGTCAAGTTATAAAAGTGAAAAGATGCGATGAAGTGTTGGACCGACTTCGAACATGTTGTGATACTGAAAATAAATATTGTACATGTGTTGATTGTGTTCTTTGATTTAATATATTCCGGCATACAAGTCTGTCTAATATTTTTATCTCGTATGGCTGGAAGGACTGAAGTGAGCGCAAGCCATATCCTGTTATAATTATCTGTCTTCCAATACTTTCCTCCTTTTACCAAATCTATGCAAGTACATTTCTTTGCTGGTGAATCAAGAAATGATTGAAAATAATGCAAGTTAACTGCTGAATTTAGGAGTGTTGATGGCTTTGAAATAACTAATAACTTTGTGTTTTGCATGATTTAAAAAAAAAAATCTCTTATCCTTAGGAACATTTTATTATGTAATTAAAAACGGCCAATAATCGTTACATATATATTGGTTACATGTATATCATATATTTCAGTTACTCTTGATTGGAATGTGGTGCATTGAAAAACTGAATAATGTAGGTGGCTTCTGTGTTTAAACCACAGTTTAGTAAGCCTTAACAGTGTTACATTACCTTCCCAGAAAGGTTACTAAGATTGGGAACAGGAGTTACTCATTCTGTCATGTTTTATCCTACCTTACTGGTAGATGTTTAAATGAGAGAGAGATTCGTCAGGCCAGTAAGAGAATACATTGATAATAAAAACACAGCTACAAGCATGGTGGGAAGAAAATGACACCTTACTACATGATTCATATCCGATGCTCATAAAAGGAAAAGTAAATCTTGTTTTATTTCATCATGTGCCTTACACAGCTGGTGTTAAAAGATTCTACAGTGGGATGAACCAACAACAAATTACAAACATAACCAATATTTCCTTCAAATTGTTTTAATATTACAGAGTAACAAAATAATCATGATTGGTTGTGACTTCAATTCAGAAATATATGTTATAGTGAGAAATCATTAATTTTAAAATGAAGCACTTTGATATTCAATTCATTAATGCATAGGTGATACATAACAAGAACTTAACATACAAATATCAAAAACATTTTTGATATTGTCTACAACATAATTAAAATATGATAAGACTGTCAAAAATAACTTTTAAGTTACATTTTATTACGCAAACAATAAGTGATCAAGAGAAGTGAAGGCTAAAATGAAAAATCAACAAAATACCAAGTATACAGGTTATCAGCTCACATGCAATATCATTAGAATCAATGGGTAATAGTGATCCATCGTCATATCACCAGGATGGTATCTTAATATCTATACCAATGGCTAACTTAAGTGTCCCGTGATAGTATTGCAAAGAAATCAATATTCAATAGTGTCTCATCATGAAATATGTATCAACAAGATTATGACTAGAACCAACAGTCTATAGAAGTTTTCTATCATCCTATCACCAGGATGGAGCCCGGTACAGTATGTATTGTGTCGGTGTGTTGATTTCCTCAGTGATGCGAACAGCAGGCATACGGAGGTGTGTGTCGGGTGTAGGAATTGGTGTGGGGGCTGGTTTGATGGCAGGTGTATCAGATTTCGGGCAACTGTCGGTCTCATCGGACAAATACCGGTACTGGCCATCAGCTTTGTCTGGATACAGTCGAAAAGGAAAGCTGGAAATGAAAAAATATAAATAAATCGCATTGTAAAGTCTTTCTGCAGTATACATGACATATTTATCAATCCTGAAACAGATTCACATACAAGCTGCAATTATGAGATGGGTGATAAATTACTGAATGATGTTTCACAATCAGTGAATGTTAAATAACAGAAACCAATGGTGGCTGTTGTGAACAGACAATTTTTCTTAATTTAGTTAAATAACTTTGTTATACTGTGCTTTTCAGACAAAATATTGAATTCTGCTATACCTAGATGCCAGTTCCCTCGGATTTGGGAATGAATGAATTTCTCTTACTGTACTGCATTGCATAATGTTCCCATTACACTTACCACAATTTCTGTGCTATTGAGTTTGTTGACCGTTTGACTCTCTTCCTTCCAGACCCTCTCTTCAATGGCTGGAACTGGAGAAATCAAAAGAAATGTTACCATGACTTTCAACTTTATTAGGGAAAGTACTATTTACAACTAAATGTGTTATTTCAATCTGACTATTATCAGCTTCACTCGGTTTATACAGTGAAAGTCAGGGTCAACGCCTATGGAGATTTAACATTAGCGTCGGCCCTTGATGGAATTTCAAAACAAGAAACATAAAAAAGGTATGGTTATATAAAGCTTAAATGAGGAACAGTTAGTTTCAGAATTCATTTCATGATAAATGGGACGCCATTGCCTTACACCTGTGTGGGTGTTAAAGGTGCAGCAATACAGTTCCTCCGAAAGCATTTAAATGACCCAGATACTGTAAAATTATATCATCATTGTGTGCAACATATTCCAACTGTTATTTTGATACCTAACATTACACTATTTCAACAAAGAATTGTTCTTTTTGAAGATTAAAGCAGAAAAATATGTGAAATTTCATTACTGATGAGAAAATTTCCATTTTTGACACATTACCAGTTCTAAAACGAGCCTATTTTTTATACTTGCTTAAAATTTGGATACTAATAATATCTTTCAACATCAGGAATTTAAAAAAAAAAAAAAATGACAACCAGTAAATTTGTCATATAACACTTTTGTTCAAAATAAGAAAAACAGCTTTCTTTCCACTTTTCCTTTACTGAATACTGAAATAAAAAAAGGGCAATAACTTTTGCAAAAATTGTTGACTCAAAATTCTTTTCAAGGAAACATGAAAATATCATGATTATTTGGCCTACTAAGTTTCAAAGAGATCCATTGAAAAAAGTAGGAGGAGATTGCCGGACAAAAATCAAATACTGAAATGAACAAAGGGCAATAACTTTTGGAAAAATTGTCGAACCAAAATTCTTTTAAGGGAGACACAACTTCATATCATGATTATAATGTATCCCAAGTTTAAAAGAGATCGGTCAAAAAATGTAGAAGGAGATTGCCGGACAAACAAACAACACCATACCATAATACTCCCGTCAAATTTGACAGGCGTATAAAAAGGTCGAAATGAAAAATACTACCCTGATGCAAGACATTAGGGGGTTATTACCATATCTGTAAACTTTCATTGAAATCAGCCCAGTAGTTTATGAGGCAGACAAAGTTTTTTTTTTTCAACAAACGGCTATAACTACTTTTTGAAATTGGCCCCATAGTTTTGGAGGAGTTATCCGGACAAGTATTTTTCAACAATGGGCCATTACTCCGTAAAAAATAGTCAGATTAAAAAAAATATTACCTGGATGCATCAGGTGGTAGTTATTGTATTTGAAAACTTTGTGAAATTTGTCCATTACTTTAGAAGGAGTTGTTCGGACAAACTTTTTTTATGTACTGTTTGGTTTGGTTTGGTTTAGTATTGTTTAACATCCTATCAACAGCTATGGACAGACAGATGGACAGACAAGCTGATTCCAGTATACCCCTTAACTTTGTTGCGGGGGTTTTACTATTAAGATTATTTGATTGTTTTTATATAATTGCATATCTTTGTCTACAACACAATCTCAACCTTAAGTAGTTCTCCAGAGGAAAGATTACTTTGGCAGAATACATAACCAAGAGTTATTACTGCTGCACAAAACTTAAAATATGCGTAATATGATAAAGTGTTTAGGAATGATACAAAAACAGAAAATGTATCGGTACCATAATACACATTAATAATCAAAATCTCCATGATTATGTGAAATTGGGCATTGATCATGTTTGGCATGCTAAAAAGTACTTTATCGGTTTTGATATTACATAAAAACGATGTTTTAGACAGAATGTATATATTGAAAGTTTTTAATGAAGTTTAAAATATAGACTAACATGTTAACTATATATAGGCAAGTTGACAAGGTTGGTTATATGTTAAATTTTATGAAAATTTTGCATGTTTTTCTAATTAAAAGTATCACTACGCTTACTTCATGTATACCAATATGACATATTTAGTATCAAAATTACAGTAATTTTATACACTGTACACTATCATGATCATTTTCAAGATAACATTTATCAGTCATTTTGTTAGGATACCCCCCGTCACTCAACCTGGTGTTATGCAAGGAGGTCCACTATGCAGGTTATCGTTAATTATGAATCTACATATAGCAAAAGAATAAAAGAAATCAAAGTGGGGGCCAAATGTTGAACCCACCTTTCATGAGTTCAGCTGCTACAGTTCAGTCTACTACGGCCTGTTAATAATGCATAAAGCAATTCTCCTCAAGCCATTTATATCGATGGTAAATAATTACCATATTCTAAAATGGGCTCGCAAATTCTTCTTGATAATAAAAGTGATTTGTTTCCACAGGTAAGAAATTATCACAAAATTGTTTGTTTTAATAGGATTTTACATCCTTGCATTTATAATCTAAAGGTCATATAATGACAGCATCCATCCACTGATGGTGTCTCAAGGGACACTTCAAAGTGTTGTCTCACTGAAATGTCACGACTTAGACAAGGTAGCATGACACTCCACTGGGTCACATTGTGCTGATAGTCTGATAATAGAGCTAGCCAGAGCGGTGCCTATATAGTGACACTGCTGAATGGAGCTTTAGACATCTTAAGGTTGAATTAGTATTATTATTACATGCTCAACAGCCAATCAACACTGGCACAGGAGAGGTCAACTTAATAGGGCAAAACATTGACCAATAAAAACAAATGTAAAATCAAAATGACATAAAACCAACATATAGATATATACATAAAAGACATAGAAGATAAGACAGATAGAGGTTAAATAGGTAGAAGACAGAGGTAGGTCAATTTTGGTTACTCTACTGTCTCTTCAGCAACTTACAATAAATATATAATGTATAAATTTATCAAGTCTGACCCCTGGAGTTTGTTATAATCATTATTGTTTTATTGTATTTCCCAATAAAATCTATATAGCCCTTATGGAAATGAAAGCTGCATCAAATTCATGGCAGACTATTTTGTTTGCAAGAAGTTGACAGCCAGGTTGTTGCAGCTAGCTTCAAAGTTTCAAAAACCTGTTTTTCAAAAATTTGATTTTGAATGAAGCTTTTATGAACTGTATTTATTGCTTTCAAAAAATTGTCTAAATATTAGAGCATGTTAAAGAGAATACAAAGCTTGGTACAACAAGCAAATTCATGGAATTTATAGCCCCCTCTTGCAGGACATATTGTAGGTTAACATTATTGAGGTTAGGTTTAAACATGTGAGTATCGTGCTGTTGAGACATAATGTATAGCTTGAAACTTGAAAAAAAAAGCAAGCCCTATACCTCATTGATTATCCGTAAATATGCGCAAATCACATCGGTTGGCAAACTTAGCATTAGTTGGATGTGCATAAGGAATTTGGTTGAAACATCCTAACAATATCTTCAGCAATTATCACACGAAAACCAAAGAGTGCCCAAGATGGGTGGAAAGACAGAGGAACACAAACATTGTTATAAAGTTGGAAGGAATTTGGCTAATATTTGAGTACTATTTAATTATATCAGAGTTATAAAGCAGAAACTGCAGATAATGATGTTTTTCGTTAATCAAGGGGCCATACCTCTGCCAAATGGAGTCTGATTAAAATGGTTGTCAAACTTGGCTGAGCCCTTAATGCGTTGAATATAAAATTCGGTAAAAGCAGGGTATAATAAGGTATAGGAATCTTGTCAGTTGCAACCTCTTGGTAAAGTGATTTTAAAGACATACTTATTGTGAAGAGTTGCACTCACTGACCTTCCTCTTGAGGGTCTCCCGAGGTCGTAGTCGACTGGGCATGGGTTCAATCTGGTCATGGCTGAGTCGCTTCAGTGGAGCATAGCGCCATTGTGGATTACTAGTTCTCAGGTCCTCTATGTCCTTCTTAAACTCTAGCCTTAAAACAACAGTCATTCAATTTAGGTGATACTTATGAACTTACTTACTTTGTTGAACTGTTCAAGACCATAAATATATCACAACATCCTTTTCAACTCATGAACATGACCCATATTTGCTGTCAACGAGTATTTAATGAACCTTTTATAAGTATCACATTTTCAATTTGGTCAGTCAATTTTATACTTAGTTAGTAAATACTGGGATTGTACACAAGTTCTAACTTCTATCAGAACATGGTATCCTCAACTTATCATTATTTACAAGACATTTGGACAATATTTGGAACAACCAGAGTAAAAATTGGGAAATATCTTAATGGGGGGGGGGTACTAAAATGTGATGAGCAGTTTTCCTCTAGCTGTTTCTTACAGTAAAATGTATAGCAATAAACAAACGCATCAATTTTCATTATTTTATGTATTTTGAATGTATAATGACTGGAAATTTGTATAAACATGCTTTTTAATCCAATTGGGGAAAATAGAGACTGAAATTGGGAAAATGCAGGGTCATTTTTCAATTGGGAATGGATCCCTGTACTGGACCCTATAAACACCTACATGTAGCAAAAACCCTGACAACAGCAAACTTACTCATAAGGCTGTCGTTCATCGTAAGACATCTTCCTCCACTTTGCTCCAAGCATACGAGACACTTCCCTGTTGTCCAAACGTGGGTGTTCGTCTGCCATCAATCGCCTCTGTTCCACAGAAAACCGGATAAAACCATTCTTTGGTCGCTTTGGTCCTTTAGAACTCTTCTTTAAAACTAAGACACAAATGATAGCAAGCAAAATTATTTCTACCATAATATAGCTCTCAACACATCACATAAACACTGTTACAGTGTTTAACAGGTTTCACTCTATACCACATATGATGACGGTGAAAGCATTTTAATCTATTAATATAAACCCAAAAACTTTGTGACCATTGATAAGGCAAAACATGAAGTCACAATGCTTCACGACACCACCTATATGTGTACAATTCTCCATGGTGACATCATTATTCACAATGAATTCTTTCTGTCTAAAACCAGAAATGTGATCATCTGTAAAAGGGTTTTACTCCATGACAGTTGGTTATCATGCATACTTTTCTAACTTGTTACTTATGTAAAAGTTATTTAAGAACTCTCAAAAAAGAGTATAAGTCATGGAAAGGTAATACAGTAACCCTAAAGAACCTGTTTCGAAGTTAGTTTAAATATTAAATGACACCAGTTGCTTAATCATGTCATGTCTTATTCTTCAAGTTAACATTTACCAAATTGGATTGTTGTTAGAAATTGAAAGGTCATAATAATTCATGCTCCAAGAATGATGTTAAGGTAGCGAAAAAGGTCCAATACATACCTCTAAAAGTGTTTCCCTGAGCTGTCCGACAAAACTTTGGACAAGTTTTAGATTTCTGAAAACTAGTGGTGGTCGAGTCCGCCTCCAGTGTCTGTGTTGCCAAATTGAATTCTGTGTTTGCCTCTCTCCAATGTGATCCCAAACCTTCCTTGGATTGTTCTAGAAGAACTGAGGCTAATGCTGGATACTCTCGGGAAAACTGTTCCATCATGGACACCTCATCAGTATCTTGATTGTCACCAAATGCCTCTTCATCCAGGTGAAATGCAAGGTCTTCCTCAAACCTGTCACAATTATCTAGACTGGCACTATAGTCAGGATTGTCCACATTGTCACTTCTATTGTTGAGTATATGACTAAAATCATTTCGACAATTTGTAAGTCTTTGCCCATAAAAACTAGCATTGTCATCTAGTGTTGAACTCAAATCGCTGCCGATATTTTCTTGCACAAGACCAAACCTGCTGCCTGATGTTCCTATTTCCAGTGCTTTGTTCAGATCCTCGTTACTTCCGTTCCTCTCAACATGAATGTCACAATCTAGTACTGCTGCAATGTTCTTCCCTCGACTTTCCAGTGCAGAAGAGGCTTTGCTGATACAATCTCCACCTTCCCCATGATCCTGGACATTACAACCTGTGCCAAAGTTGCAATGTGATTGTTTCTGTCGCAGCTTAAGGCTTGTCCAGGCATCAAACATGCTTTGACTGACAGTTTCAGACTCATTAATGAGGTTTTGAATTTTGGACGAGGACTGGGTGATTGACTGAAGTGATGTAGTTTCAGTAGTGTCGTGTAAATGTTGTAATTTTAATGGATGCAAAGCCTTGATGGCAAACTTGTCATCTTGACTCGGAGATGGGGAAAGCAGCGGATGAACATCAGGTATCCAGCTGGAAGATTCATGCTCTGGAGAGAAGTGGAAACCATTAGTTTGGGCAAAGTTAAAGACATGAGGGGGACTGTCAGAGGAGCGTGTAGAAGAACCGTCGCTGTAATTGTCAACAGAAGAGGGGTCCCGTAGACATGTGAAGTCCTCCCTCAGCAGAGAGGCTAGGTGTTGTATGTAGCAAACAGCATCAGTCACTACAGAGAGCTACAGCAGAATAAAACTAAGGATAGACATAAATACGAGAAATTGAGTTCCATCAAATCAATAAATATCTGTTAAAGGATTAACTTCCTGTAACACCAGCTTAAACTTTAAATGTTAACTACAATTATTGACAGCTCTTATTAAATTTATTAGGCCCTTGAGACCCGGAAAGTTAGTATTAAAAGTTCTTTCATTGGAATTAACTTGTAAATCCTTCACTTTAATTACCCTAGCAAGCTACAGGCCAAATATGTTGACTCTGTCATATTTTGGTTCTTCACAACAGACACAGATGGATGGCAATTGGTCACCCGTAATTAGCCTTTTGCTAGGGTGAAGTAAGATATAGAACTTCATCCTTAATTGCATAATTTACAATTCCCAGAATTAGACTGTCGATGATCGATATTATAATAACTGGCATTTCAACAGCAATTAAAGGTCTCATGAATTAGTGATTATGAAGACATTGATAAACAAGAGTACCACGGGCGGAACAATATACGCCAGTAGAATGCCATATAGTGTTATATACTTTCTGACATTAAAATAAGATCTGCATAGTTCTCAGATTGGTTAGCTGACATGATATAAAAAATGTAGGAGAAAATCTTCGGACAAAAAATCAAATACTGAAATGAACCAATGGCAATAACTTTTGCAAAAATTTTTGAACCAAAATTCTTTTCAAGGAAACACAACAACATATCATGATTATTTAGCCTATTAAATTTAAAAGAAATCCGTCAAAAATTGTAAGGGAAGATCTCCGGACAAAAAATCAAAAACTGAAATGAACAAAGGGAAATAACTTTTGGAAAAATTGACGAATCAAATTTCTTTTAAGGAAGGCACAACTTCTTATCATGATTATAATGTATACCAAGTTTCAAAGAGTACGGTTGAAAAAAATATGTAGGAGAAGATTGCCGGACAAACAAAAGTTTACGCTGGACGAACGACCCCATACCATAATACTTCAATCAAATTTGACGGGCATATACAAACTATTATGTAGGAGATAGAAAAGGTGACAGATGATAACTAACTTCAGTCTGTGGTTGTTGGAGAAAGTCGCTAGCTACGGTTCTAGATAATTGTGTTAGACAAGTGATGTAGTCATCTTCCTCCTGTCTATCTTCAGGATTATTACCCTAAAAATGTAAAATACTACATACATATATTATATAATGAGACATAAAACTTCAACATAAATGAAGGTTTTCCTAAAATGCTGAAATTTAAAATAAGCTCGATACAATTGAGATATCAAAATGAAACCTGCATGATTTGTAGACTTGTAGTCATTAGGTTTTTTTATCTGAAAATGAGTTCTAGAGGAACGATCAAGCAACTATTAAAGAAAACATGATGTAACTTTTGATCTATAAAACATTTCTCCATTTGCTGGTGAGAAGGTCTAGGTTCCAAGAAACTGAACAAGAAAATGTCTGTTAAAAATGAATGCCCCTACTCCCATGAAAATTAGAATTAATTTTTTGACAAATTTCAAAACACCTGCCATGATCCCTCAGATTGTACTACCTGAAGTGTTTAATAAGATGGTGCTCCCAAAATTTATTAATTATATGTTGCTCCCTAAAGTCTTTAAACAGATGGTGCTCCATAAAGTCATTAAACGGATAGTGCTCCCCAAAGTCATCCCTCAGATGATGCTCCCTAAAGTCATCCCTCAGATGATGCTCCCCAAAGTCATCCCTCAGATGATGCTCCCTAAAGTCACCTTTCAGATGATGCTCCCCAAAGTCATCCCTCAGATGATGCTCCCCAAAGTCATCCCTCAGATGATGCTCCCTAAAGTCACCTTTCAGATGATACTCCCCAAAGTCATCCCTCAGATGATGCTCCCCAAAGTCATCCCTCAGATGATGCTCCCTAAAGTCACCTTTCAGATGATACTCCCCAAAGTCATCCCTCAGATGATGCTCCCCAAAGTCATCCCTCAGATGATGCTCCCTAAAGTCACCTTTCAGATGATACTCCCCAAAGTCATCCCTCAGATGATGCTCCCCAAAGTCATCCCTCAGATGATGCTCCCTAAAGTCACCTTTCAGATGATACTCCCCAAAGTCATCCCTCAGATGATGCTCCCCAAAGTCATCCCTCAGATGATGCTCCCTAAAGTCACCTTTCAGATGATACTCCCCAAAGTCATCCCTCAGATGATGCTCCCCAAAGTCATCCCTCAGATGATGCTCCCTAAAGTCACCTTTCAGATGATACTCCCCAAAGTCATCCCTCAGATGATGCTCCCCAAAGTCATCCCTCAGATGATGCTCCCTAAAGTCACCTTTCAGATGATACTCCCCAAAGTCATCCCTCAGATGATGCTCCCCAAAGTCATCCCTCAGATGATGCTCCCTAAAGTCATCCCTCAGATGATGCTCCCTAAAGTCACCTTTCAGATGATACTCCCCAAAGTCATCCCTCAGATGATGCTCCCCAAAGTCATCCCTCAGATGATGCTCCCTAAAGTCATCCCTCAGATGATGCTCCCTAAAGTCATCCCTCAGATGGTGCTCCCTGGATTTGTCCTTCAGATGTAAACCCAATAGTCATTCTTCAGATCATGATACCTAAAGCCATCCCTCAGATGGTGCCATCTAAAGTCATCAAACACATGGTGTTCCCTAAAGTTATCAATCATATGGCCACATGATGCTCCTTAAAATCATCCCTCAGATGGTGCTCTCTAAAGTCATACATCTGATGATACTCCCTAGAGTCATCAATCAGATGATGTTCCCTAAAGTCATCAATCAGATAGATGATGTTCCCTAAAGTCAACAATCAGATGGTGCTCCATCATACTCCCTTTATTAAAGTCATCCCTTGGATGGTGCTGCCCATAGTCTGAGCCATCCTTCAAACTGTGCTCCCTAAAGTCATCAATCAGATGATGTTCCCTAAAGTCATCAATCAGATGATACTCCCTAAAGTCATCCCTCAGATGATGTTCCCTAATGTCATCCCTCAGATGATGTTCCCTAAAGTCATCAATCAGATAGATGATGTTCCCTAAAGTCATCCCTCAGATGAAACTTCCTAAAGTCATCAATCAGATGATACTCCCTAAAGTCATCAATCAGATGATGTTCCCTAAAGTCGTCAATCAGATGATGTTCCCTAAAGTCATCAATCAGATGATGCTCCCTAAAGTCATCAATCAGATAGATGATGTTCCCTAAAGTCATCAATCAGATGATACTAGTGATCAGTTTGTGCTCCACAGGTATCTCTCAGATGGTGATCCATAATATTTACTGAGATTCTGTTCCCCAACAACTTTTATCAATAAACAAATTTTGCATAAATGCTGACGGTGGGGCTATCGAGCTTTGAAAGGAATTAGTATTTTGAACTTGGAAAAAAATCCAATCAGATTTGCTAATTAATTGTAAATAAGACACTAATATAAGGTATATCAGGGATAATCCTGGAGGGGCCATGGTGCAATTGAACCCTCAAAACTGAAATTGAACCCTCCATATATGCCAATTTTCTTTTAATTTTACATAGAAAAGCTCCTTTCTGTTTTGGGGATGTTTTGAGAATTTTTTGAGAATGTTTTGATATTGACTAAAAATTGCTAAAATTTCCCACTGCTCTCAAATTCCAATATTTTGGTATATTACCTGAATGAAGGAGAACGTTTGTTCTTCCTCAATGGAGGGTGATTCTCCAACACCACCAGGAATATAGAAAGGGCCAGACACAGAATATGGAAGGTCAAAGTCCAGGCAGGCATCCCAAAGAGCTTGCCTCTCTCCATCTAGACAATAAATAAAAGCAAGATAAAAAGAAGCTCACAAAGGTATACCCCCCACTGAGATTTTATATTTGACACACTATAAATCTATAAAAGTACCATGCAAGCTTACAAGTGTTTCAGTGATTTCATCTTGACAATTTTCTGTTTTTTGAAGGGAACGTCACTGCTGATTAATCTTACATATGGAAAATGTCATCCCCATGCTATTTTTCTTTTTATCATTTCAAAACTGTATGGTAGGCATGCCAACTGATCATCCTAAATAAAGTTTTGTCATTCATATTCCTTGCCCGCTATAAATCATGTTTACAATGAATGGGCTGTATCTCCCACTGGGGAAATCTCTATAATATTTATACCAGTTGCTTTGAATTGCAATGCAATGTTCTGTATGCACTCATTGAGTATAAAGCTTACCTTCACTTGAATTGCTTTGATTTTCTGTCAGTTCTTTGATTAATGTACATGGTGAATCAGCATCACTGAAAATTAAACATTTTTTTTACATTTCATCGTTCCAAGTATAAGGTTGGTTTTACTAGAGAATAGTTGTATTTTGCTATATTTTGTGTATGGGCTACAAGTATGGGTAATAGTTTTGGCACCTATGATATCCACAAAAAGTTTAGTGTCTCCATCAATCTAAAGTCAAGACAGCCATCATTCTTTTAACCCATTCAACCCTATGAAACTTTAGTAGACTATACTATGCATTGATCTGGATGAGTCCATTTTGGTCTACAGTGGTGAAAGGGTTAAAAATATCCTAACTGCAAGGCTGTTATGCTTTAAATTGATGGCATCAAGAATGTTGTTATCAATGGATTATGATGTAATCTAAAACTTGATTTGTAAAAACTGATGACTGAAACAAATGTCAACAAGTGTCAGCTGCAGGTGTTCACAAGATGAATCCCCCATTCACAAATGTTAGTCAGCTTAAGAATGAGCTGTGACACACAATAAAGTTTCAACTGTAATTAATTCTGATACCTTAATCAATTAAAGAACAATGAATTACAAGTCTGACAGTTTATTCTAAAAGGATTGTGTCCATTTATTAGGAAAGAAAATCTTATTTCATCGGATCACGTTTGATACCGTAAACCTAACCAATTAAAGTTGACAGTAACATGTTGTATCAGTTTGAAACATTATTTGAACACAGACTTTTTACCCACGTGGGCTATTTGGAATATTCATTTCGTCCAACCAATCAATGTGGCGGATGTACAAGCCTGATGGCAGAGTGCGCAGTTGTAACCGGATATTTGATTGGTTAATGCTCAAGACCAGAACAGGAAGATTTCCAGACATGCCCGTCACTCTAGTTGAACGCACTTCTTGTGTATCGATATGCACTGGTAAAACTTACCTTAAAATGATTAGCCTTCTGAGTTAAATATCAGTTTAATGAGACATTTCGTGGAAGACTTCAAATGACATGTAAAATATCGAAAAGCCAAGTTGAATAAAAAGAACAACCCTATCCCGTTCTCGAAGGCATGGAATGCATTGATTGTTGGATTCCTTGATATTGGAAAGTGGACAGGCCTACATATATGCACGTTTTATCCTATCAAGAATAAAACTATAAGGCCTTCATTAAGTTTAAGGTTAAATTAACGGAGGTAAAAATCAAAGTTCAAAAGCATGTTCATGGGCAACGTCAGCACAACAACTAGGCCTAGCCCCACCGTCATCAACGTAAACATATTGAATATTTCGTGGGGAGGTTTCGCCGTAAGTAAGTTGTAGAACCAATTAGAAAATAAACAATGTCTCGATACTCTACCTTCTCACACTAGGACCATTCCGGCCAAGACTGATTATCATATATGCACAATATTTCTGAAAAAGGCCGATAGTAATCGGTGATCAGACCGCCATTTGTCAACGCTGATGTTTCCCGCGTTTGTTCAACTTGTGAAAAAGAAATGTTATCATCAGCATGTCCTTGCGTTGAAAATAATCATGTTAGGTCTACATTTTGTATTTTCAAAACGTTTAAAGCATTAGTGTTAATTAAAATGAATAAATCGAGCGGCAGAACAACTTAAACTTACCTCAATTCCTCTCTTTCGGCCATTTTCTTCCGCAGCAATAATGGCAACTTAAAATTATGTCAGTGTAAAAGGAGATCTATCGTGACAATACAAATTTCCCACGATGCTGATTGGCTGAGACGTTTTGAAGTTGGGCGGTGTCGATATTTGATTGACATTAGATAGGGGGAAATTGTGGGAGATGGTGGAACTTTTGATTCTTCATTTCTGGTAATCGAGCAAGTTCATTTTTTTTCATACAGAGGACCAGTCCAACAAAACAACATGTAAGGGTTACACGTAGAAATAGAACTTCCATACAAGTAGTTTACATATCTTAGATATTTTTGCGGGGGATTGGGGGTATAAACAGATACAAAAATTCTTTTTTACAACACAAATCGTTATTTCGTAAATAAAGAGGCTGATTTCACGCAAAAGTTGTGGATCGATTATTATAGATAATAGCAATCATTACAAAGTGGAGTCCAAATCTTGAGAAGTGAGAAGATCGTCGTCCTGGGGTTCAAAGGGTTTCGACATTCAGCAGGGACAACAATTAAGTTTTTAAACATCAAATATTGCTTATAACAATGAATAAATACAGTGTCAAAAATTGATTACCAGTACACCGTCTCTATAATACATAAAACTATCCTTCCCCCCGACCAAAATATTGTGGTGGAAATGGTTAATTCTTTAAATGGAAAACTATATAAGGAATTGATTTTCGACAAATTGTTTGGTATCATAGGCAATATTTAATGGGGGTAAAATCATATAAACACACTATATAACTATTTCTGTCAGACCCCAGACTGAATTGTACTTCATGCTTGAAGTCTCCATTCCAATAACTCTTTCTATATTAGTACACGGAAAAGTTAAAAAGTGACACCTTGTTCTGTTGAGATTGTACAATACAGTGGCGGATTCAGTGGGGTTTTTTGGGCTTCAGGAAACCCCCCACCCTGAGAATTTTCTTNGATAATACTCAATGGTCGAATTGTATTAAACATATCCTTTGATGAATGTAATTTAATACATATATTTGAAAGTCAAGAATTCCAAAGTACCCAATGATTGAAAAATACAGTTTTCCATACACTCAAAGATAACTTCATTAATAATTGGAGAAGCGATGTTTTCAATTCACCTAAAGGGACCAACTATAGAATTTTTAAAAATGACTTAATATTAGAAAAATACCTGCTAAATCTCCCTCCAAGACTAGCAAATGTTTATTGTAAATTTAGAATGTGTAATGTTAAATTTCCGATTGAATGTGGTAGATGGAATAACATTCCATGGGAAGATAGAAAATGTATTCTTTGTGACCTTAATGAAATTGGAGACGAATATCATTATTTGTTTAATTGTAATGACCACCAGATACTGCAAAACAGAAGAAAATTTATGTCGAGATATTATTTCAATAATGAAGAATTAATTTCACTTATAAAATTCATTAAGCACATAATTGAGCGAATTAACACTGTCCGTTAACACCATGCTTTATATGTAAATTGTACTATATGTATGTTTATAATTCTCTACACTGTAACCAGTTTGCGAGAATCAAAACTAGTCATTGTCATTGTCCTCGAAAGTGTAAATTGACGTTTCATTTAATGATAATTAAATCAGTAAATCAACTTTATTGCATTTTTATTGAAACAAATTACGTACAAAAACAAGAGCATAACTCAATTTATAGAACATTATCAATGAGATATCAAAAAAATATTAATTTAATAAACACTTACAAAAAATAACTTAAAATTGAAAAGATGTTCAGCGGGCCTGTAACGCTCACCTGGATTTGAAGCAATGGTGGCAAGATATTTTCGTTAACAGTTATATTAATATATTAATATTTCCCATTCAAGGGTTAACTTTCAGTACCAAGGTGGGCGAGGACAACGTTCTTCCTTTATACCACATTCCATTCCCTGGTCCAAAGGTTACTTCATTGTAAACTATTTGGTTGAAATATAGTCAACTGGTCAAGAGAAACTTTTATCACATACCTGTTGAATCTCGTTATAGTAATACATGCGGAATGTTGTAATTACCTACTAGCCGGAACTACTTTTATGGGAATCCCCTTGTCATGGCGAACTGAAAAGTTCCCGGTATTTGCAAAAAAATGTCAAAGTTTATAAAATCTTTGTATCGATCTCTACCAAATACGGAAGGTATGTGATAAAAGCAAGACCACACACTCATTTATTTCCGCGCACGAGTGAATATATACGTCCGCGCAATTTTCCTTGTTGCGTGAATGTCTTTTCTCCCTTGTCTTGCAGTTTCATATATATACATATATATAATATAATTATAGTGTTGGGATCTCAACTATATCAATTTTATGACCTAAGGATGAAGTCAAAAGGGCGAGGCTGGACCGATCTTAGTAGCACGATCGTGTACGACATTTCAAGTAAAGTATTCTAGGGAGGGTATCTCAACTGATTACATGTTATGTCCCAGAGACTAAGTCCTCAGGGACAGAGACGGGCGGGAGTACGGCCCTCTGCCGTTAGGGATGAGGAGTGGGTGGTCTACGTCCCATGTATGACAACGTTGTGTTCAATTGGTCCAAGGATGCTCCGGGTTAAATTTGGTCGACATCCCTTTATGTGTAAGGAAGGAGAAGGATTTTAGTTATTTACTGCTATTTCCCCTGTTTTGCCACCCTCTGCCCAAGAAAGACATACCCTCTATTTAACAACATTGGCCCATTTAAGAGCGAATTTCGTGGACAATGCTGAGATCGGAGTTTTATGCCTGAAACAAGCAAACATTTGCACCTTTTTGCATTAATTAAACCTCTAAAACCACACATCCAAGACTACAATGGTCGTGTATGAACACATGTATGTTGTCGTATTTGCATTTTACCTACAGATGTAGGATGCAATTAAATTATCCTTAATATTAGAAAGAAAGTGTTTCCGTGTTTGTATATATATCTTAACTCAAATCCATGTCGAGTCAAAGTCCTACAAAAATTACATTTTTATTATATTAAAAAGACGAGTATTTTTAAGACATTATTGTTATTATTATTATGAATATAAGTCAAACATTCTTTTTATCGCATATACGGATTCTAGGCTAAATTCTTCAAAATCAATTTCATTTAAATGATAGGTCATTGGGTCTCCTAGTAAAATGTGAATTAATGGATAGTCAGGCAGTGGATGCAGACATGAACTGAGTTCAATACTTGAAATGCAGGCAATTATACACCATAAGTTGTCATGAAGAACAATGCAAAATCACATGAGATACAAAATCTGTGTAGAAATAGCCACCCCAATGATGGCATAAAAGCTGTATGTTACTTACACGTACACTGCACCACACGGCCATTTTGTCCATACATAAAACGTTTATACAACCGCTGGCGACAACGGTTTTTAACTGTAAATTTCCTAGACGAAGTATAATAATATGCCGTTAAACCAACTAAGTTATCCCATTCGGATTGGTATAGTTCAATTCTTATCCAAGACACTGAAAAAAGAATGCGAAGATACGAGTCTTTGGCAGCGGATGACTGTCTGATTTGAAAATAAAAATAAAAACACCTGATACTTCTATACACACAGCAGGAAGAACGCTGATGGAACCGGATATCAATATAGTTGTCTGGAAATGGTACGGAAAGAGAAAAGAAAGACACTTGTGGGAACCCTAGCTCAACCTGGATTGTCACTTAATACAACGGTCATGAATACAATACCAAGAACTATAAGATACACTTTCTCTGCAACTATGGGTAGACCTGAATGATAAACTTCGAAGACTTGCAGGAACATTGATTGAACATGCTAGACGTCTATCATATAAATAATGGACAGTAATTCCCACAACTCATGACGTCAAATGAACATCCAGCATACAGTCCGACCACATCACACACTGAGGTATTACAGGACGGCAGCTAAAAAGGACATACAAAGAATTCCATGACGTCAGTATAATGAATAGTCCGTGTACAATCCATTCACACTTCTGATTACAGGATGGCAATTAGAACGGCCACCAGAAGAATTTTTCTCGTATCCAAATGAGTTGTTTCGGCGAACAAAAACATTGTTCCGCTATTCATCAAGACATATTTACATTTCCACTGCAAGTTCCTCTGTAAGCATTTCCGTGAGAAATTGCGTTCATAGACAATTGAGTCAGTGTCATTTTGAAGTATTCCCTCCCTTGATTAACATGAGACAACCTTAAAAACTAACCTTTTAATTCGTAACGTTAAGCTGTTTCAGGAATCTCGTTAGCGCTGGCGACAGACACTTCAATATAGAAAATATAACGGAATATCGTTGTTTAGATCAATGATAGCTAAATATTTAGAATGTAAAAATAAGGATTGAACAGCATTTTTCAATATTCATGCCGGTATGAACGCAACCCGGTTACATACATAGGGCTTCACGGAATAATTACATAACCGATTTGTACCAGCATGAAATTGAAAAAAAAATAAGGCCATTTAATCCTTATGCGACGTTATATATTTAAAAATAATACGCCAAAAATGTCAATATTCCCATTGCGTTGCTATAATTTCCGTTGCTCCCGATTCAACGTGTACAATTAGTATGCATTTCGGTGTCATTGGTATAAAATCTGATAATATACATGAATTTGGTATTAAAACAAAGTCCAACTTGGTATCGAGATTTTTATTATCCTTTTTGTTTCCTCATATCTTAATTTAATATAATATATACATGGTATGGTCTACATACAATATAAACAACATTAGAAATCATCTATGTCGAGCTTCATCAACTCGAGGTTACGTCAAGGTGAAAATATACAACTGTTCTTGCTGATCAAAACTAAAAGCAAAAACAAATTCACGAAGCCACTTTTAATTGAATGTTTATAATAACGTTAATTAAGCTTGATACAGAAATGCTGTAAGAATATATTTCTTCCCATGCTAAATACAACATTCTCAATCAAAACCTCGTACAAAAGGACTAATGGTAATAGTAAGGTAAGTGGAATCACGGACATACTGTTTTAGTACGTCATAGAATAAGAAACATCTAGGCTGTTAAAAGTATGTAC